TTTTGAGCATGGCAGGCTTTTTTTAAGCCCAAAAAACCCGGTTTTTTTTTTTTTTTTACGCCTTGTGCATCCAGTTTTGACGGCTGTTAGAAAAAACGGGGCGACAAGAGTCCCGGAGGAGGGACAACACACACACACACACACACACGCACGCACGCACACACACACACACACACACACACACACACACACACACACACACACACACACACACATGCACGCACGCACGCACACATGCACGCACATGCACGCACGCACGCACATGTGATGACGGAAGCAAAGAGAGCAGGAGGATATGTTACGGTGATACGGTTTGTGGACCATCGACACGTCGATGAAGACGACGCAAGGACAGTTACCACGTGCCCGCCACTGGACACCAACCAACAACAAGCAAACACAAGAAGAGGAACGAAAAGTGACTCCGTGTGGCAGCGGCTGACGGGTCAGTTGCGCCACCAGCGCATGCACCCCAAAGTCAGAGTTCGTATGCGGGGAAGTGAGCGCGCTGAGGGGACTGAAGGGCGAGCATAAGGGCAGCAAGGCCACCCGCGCCTTCAAACAGCGAGTATGGCCGGTCAGGGACAAGCAGCATCTGCTCCTGGCTCTTCAGACCAACGTGGGCGAATGCACGTGCGCGGTGGAGGTAGATGGGCTGCCCTGTCTCGCGGTACATGGCAAGCAGAGCCAGGCCGTTCCCGCCAACACCGTGGCACAGGCCCAGGCCCTTGAGAAGCACGCCCTGCTTCCACACAAGGTCGGCAGCTGCCTGCGCAATGCGCACGTACTCTGCAGGGCGAAGCACGTCGGCTTGCTCCAGCACGTGTGGAGGGCACGTGGCAATGTCGCGGGCCACGCGGAGAAGGAGGGGAATCACACCCGGTGCGCCGTGGCACCACTGCACCTTGTCGTCCTTGTCGCTTCCGTAGGACGAGGGGTAGTTTCCGTTGCGAAAGCGGTAGCGCGCCAGCTGCGTGGCGGTGCTCAGGATGAGCACAAGCTCGTCGTCGGTCACGGCGCCAGGGAACATCTCCCGCGCTTGCAGCAGCGTCAACAGGATGCCCGCAATGCCGTGCGCAGCGCCGAGGTAGAGTGAGTCGTGCCAGAAGTACGTCAGGACGAATGGTGCGTCATCGCGCGAGCCGTTGCGCGCGCCTTCCTGGATAATGGCGTGCACAACAGCCCTCACCAGGCCTTCAGAAATCAGGTGCACTCCCTCGACCTCGCCGCTGCCGCCGCTGCAGTGCTTGTGAACGAACAGCAGAGCATACAGGTACCCTGCTCGTCCATACAAGAGCTCACACTCCCCCGGGGCCATTTCTGAAACGGGCACGGTGTGTCGATGGCGGTGCTGGTGTTGGTGATGATGATGGTGGTGGCCGTCTGGCTGCTCATCGGTGCGCACTTGTTGAGCCTCCTCACCCTTATCCCACAAGTTGCACAGCTGCTTTGCCGACGCCTCGGCCGCGGCCGCGCTTCCCAGTCGGTGCATGGTTGCCGCGTGCAGCGCATAGCAGCCGGCGCGGCCCTCGAGAAACGAGGCCAGTCGACGCGGGCTGATGCGTTCGAGGGCTTGCGGCACAATATCAGCGGCGCGCTGCCAGTAGTCAAAGCTGGAGTTGCCATCACCGAAGACCGGCCTTTCCTCATCACCCACCTCCTTCACCTGTTCCTCCGATTCTCTTGCAGTTATGCCCATGTCGAACAACAGCAGTGCAAGGCCGGCCATGCCCACATACACACTGCCATATCGGCTCGCTTCCGTTCCTCGCCCTTCCCCATCCAGCACAAACTGTGGCAGAATCAGCCTTTCGACAAGCCTGGACAGTGCAGCGGGACCCAGCGTTTGCAGTGCATCCGGCGACGACACAGCTTGCTCCAGCTCCTCCCCACTGTGGTTCAGGAACGGGTTGCGGTAGAAGCGCCTTGGGTTTCGCACAATACGAGCCATCGTCGTTGGTGGCGGCGCGTGGTGGAGTGGCGGTGAGTGGTGTCTTGGCTTGCTTGCTTGGTTTGGTTTCGTGGCTTGCTTTGATTTGTGCGGCTGCAAGCGGCAGCGGATGATTGGTTGGTTGCGCTGCGCTGCAAGCGTGGAAAAACGAAACGACATGAACTTTCAAATTCCCCCACGGTTTGTGTGGTTTTTTTGGTCTTGAGGTGCGACAATTGCGGAGATTTGCGACGGGCGCGTGGCCAAGTGGCGACACCGGCCAGTTTTGCAATTGTTGCCAGAAGCGGGAAATTGTGGGTTTGGTGAGGAGTGTGTGGGTTTGAGGTGGTTTGTGCATTTCTTGTCATCGAGAGATCGAATTTACAGCGGTTTTGTGCGTGAGTTCTGGTGATGGGAACCCCTAGTTTTTGAATTCTCGATTCTGGTGTCAGGGTGGAATTTGTGGTGTGGCAGTCGGCAGTCTCGGTGGCCCAAACATCGGAACAGCACGAAGTGTAGTCGAAGAGGCAGCTTTTTGTGCAGTCGTGCGTGTGTCCGTCGCTCAGTGCGGTGTTTGCAGAACCAAAACGCAGCAGCCACACCCCCCTTCTCAGCTTCCCTTCCTCCCTCCTCCCCTTCAGGGTCTGCCTCATTCTCCTCTCTCGTTTCCACCCTCCTCCTCCTCCTCCCCCTAACCTCCTGGTCTGGTTTGCTGGTTTGGTGGTTCGCTGCAACAAGGCACTAAGAGAGGCAAGGCAGAGGCAAAAGGGCAACGGTGGCGTGTCGTCCCGTCGCTCCAGCGTAGCAGCGGCTTCCACCAACCAAAACCTCAAAACAGCCAGCAAAACGCAAGAACAAGAAGAAGACGAAAAGAAGAGAACAAAGCCTCAGAGCCTCAACCACAGAACTACCCTCGTGCCACCTCTTCTGCGTCTTCTTCCTTCATCGCGGCCACATCTGAGCATTTCAAAGCGTTTCTTTTGCCAAAGAACAATGGCCAACGATGACAGTGAGCTCCGTCTGACGGACGGCGTGTCTGTGGAGGCGATCAAGGCCTTCCTCGCAGATTTGAAGAGCGAGTTCCCCGACACGTACACTGAGATGACAACGGAGGATGCCTGCAAGCAGCTCGTGGTCCCACGCACCCAGCAGGACAACTGCGCCTACGTCGATCTGTTGCGCAAGCAGTCATCACATGAACATGTGGGCAAGGCCACCGTGTTTGTGTCGCACGCATGGCGATACAAGATCGCAGACGTGTTGAACGTCTTGCTCGAGTTTGCAGAGGAGCAAGCAAGGAAGGAAGACAGCCAGCCCGTGTTCTTCTGGTTTGACCTCTTCATGAACAACCAAAATGCCAACGTCACCGCCAACCTCCCACAAGAGTGGTGCGTTGTGTGTGTGTGTGTATGTGTGTATGTGTGTGTGCGTGTGTGTGTGAGTGTGTGTGTGTGTGTGCGTGTGTGTGTGCAGCTGTGTGTGCGTGCGTGTGTGTGTGTGTGAAAACCTGTGTGTGTGTGTGTGCGTGTGTGTGCGTGTGGAAACCTGTGTGTGTGTGTGTGTGTGTGTGTGTGTGTGTGTGTGTGTGTGTGTGTGCAGCTGTGTGTGGATTGGTAGTGCAATGTTTCTTGCACACACCCTCACACGCACTCTTCTCCCCGTCCCCCTTCCCCACCCCAACACCCTCGCCCACCACACACCCGCAGGTGGAGCACGACGTTCAAGGAGTCGATTGCCAACATTGGACGCGTGCTGCTGGTGTTGATGCCGTGGCGTGATCCTGTCCCCTTGACACGCGCGTGGTGCCTGTGGGAGATCTTCTGCGGCATCAGCAACGAGGGCACAGAGCTCAACATCCGCCTTCCCAACAGCGAGGAGAAGGCGCTGGAAGAGGCCATTCGTGGTGACTACGAGGCCGTGACGAACATGCTGGTGCGCGTGCAGGCTGAGCGGGCCGAAGCCTTCAACCCGCGTGACAAGGACATGATCTTCGAAGCCATCCGGGACGGTGTGGGCTTTGCGGCTCTCAACCAGGCCGTGAAGGACCAGCTGCGTGCGTGGTGTCTGGAGAAGGCGGTGGCTGCGGTGGAGGTGATGCAGGCTCGGGGCGAGGACAAGACGAAAGCATTCGCACACTTGTGTCACGTTGTGGGTCTCGTGCTGAACACGTTTGGCGAGCACGACCAGGCTATTGCCTACTTCCAAAAAGCCCTGCAGATTCGTCTCCGCACAGAGGGGGAGAAAGGGGAGAACGTGGCTGCGCTGTACAGCAACCTCGGCAATGTCTACTTCAGCCAGGGCCAGTACGACAAGGCGATTGAGTTCTATGAGAAGGCCCTTGCCATCAGGGTAGAGACGTTGGGCGAGAAGCACCTGAGCACAGCCAACACCTACAACAACCTCGGCAATGCCTACTGCAGCAAGGGCGAGTATGACAAGACGATTGTGTTCTATGACAAGGCCCTCGCCATCAAGTTGGAGTTGCTGGGGGACAAGCACCCGAGCACAGCCGACACCTACAACAACCTCGGCCTCGCATACGCCGACAAGGGCGAGTATGACACGGCTATCCAACATTATGAGAAGGCCCTCGCCATCAGGGTGGAGATGTTGGGCGAGAAGCACCCGAGCACAGCAGACACCTACCACAACCTCGGCAACGCATACGCCGACAAGGGCGAGTACGACAAAGCAATTGAGCTTTATGAGAAAGACCTCACTATCACGGTAGAGGCGTGGGGCGAGAAGCACCCGAACACAGCCGACTCATACAACAACCTTGGCAGCGCCTACCACAGCAAGGGCGAGTACGGCAAGGCAATTGAGCTTTATGAGAAGGCCCTTGCTATCGCGGCGGAGACAGTCGGCGAGAAGCACCCAAGCACAGCGATGACGCTCGAGAACATTGGCATGTTGCACAATGAACGCGGTGACAAGGAGCAGGCCTGCGCCCACATCCAGCAAGCGCTCGACGTGTACGCGATCACGTTCGGGCCAGACCACCCCAACACGCGCGCCGTGCAACACAACCTGCGGCGCATTCGCGGTGGTGCTGTGAAGGGCCAGGATTTATCCATGCAAAGTTCTCCGGTTTCCTCTTCTCGGCCAACCGACTCTGGTGGCTGCTGCAGTGTGCTCTAATGAACGTTTGTGAGTGTGCTTGTGTGTGCGCGTGTATGGACGATAATGATGGTTGCCGGCTACGTCTGAGTGCGGGTGTTACAAACCGTCGTGGTCGTGGGGGTTTGCTTCTTTCCCCATCCGCGTTGTTCTTCGTGCTTGCCTGCATGCATTGCTTTCTTGTTCTTGTTCCACAGCGTTTGCCTTTCGTTTGCTTTATTGGGTTCCATGCATGCCTACCCGTGAGACTGCGCACCTTGTCCTTGCCTTAGGGCGAAGGACAGCAGCAATGATGTGGCACCCAGCAGAGCAGCAGCCCTTTGAATTGTGTGTGTGTGTGTGTGTGTGTGTGTGTGTGTGTGTGTGTGTGTGTGTGGTCGTGTGTGGTCGTGTGTGTGTGGTCGTGTGCTTGTGTACACGACGTCGACACCGTCCTCATTCCCCAATGATCCCATCACACCTGTTGACCCGCCATGAGCTGTTCGGGTTGCATTCTTTATGAACACTGAGACGGCCGCGTTGATCAGCAAGTGATGTGACCACCCTTAAAACTGCACACAGACGCACACAGACAGACACAGACATGCACACACACACGCCCTTCCTCCGCTTCCTCGCCCCCCCTCCCCTTTGCCGCTAGATCAGCATGCAGACCCTTGGCTTTGGTGCCGCGCCGCGTGCAGCACGGCGGCGCTGGTTCGCCCGCTGCACCACCAGCCGCGCAGGCGCAACCGCAACGCCCTGCCCCTGCAGCGACGCCGCCGTCACGTCCCCCGCCTCAACGAGCAGCTCAAGCATGTCAAACGTCTTGATGCCAAGCTGCGCAAACGCATCGTACACGTCCTCCAACACATCCAGCTCCGCCAGCCACTGCTCCAGGTCACGCTTCATCGCAAAGCCGCGTGGCGGTCCGCCTGAGGATGTGTGGCGTGCACCCTGCTGCCTTTCCTTTGCCGCCGCCGCACCACGAGGTGCTTGCTCCGCACCGCCGGTTGCCCTCTGGCTGCTGCCTCCTGCCTTGCCACGACCACGACCACGGCCACGACCATCAATACCCTCGTCACCACCATCACTGCCGCCGCCGTTCTCGGCGTGCTCCTCCCGCGCATTCGCCACGACCTTGCGCACCGTGTCCGCGTGCGACCGCAGCTGCACCGCCCGGCTGCTGTCGCCGCCGCCCTGCGTCCCAACGCCAACCACGGCGTCAATGTCAAACAGCGCCAGCACGGTCTCCCGCACACTCCGGTGCTTGCTGGGCGGCGGCGCGTGCAGCACTTGCGCAAAGTACTGGTCCAGCGACGCAGCCGTCTCCTTGCTCACGACGTCCGGTAGCGTCATCGCAACATCGCGGATGGCGCCAAAGGAATCCCCGCCCCCATCGCCAGTGCTGCCTTCCCCCGCGAGACGGCTGCCGCTGTCGCTGCTCGCGCTGGTGCTGTTGCTGTTGAGCCACGCGCTCCCCAGGAAGAGCGGCACAATGCGACGCAGCCGGACCTGTGCTGGGTCGTCGCCGTGTGCGTGCACATGGTCGCGCAGCGCCAGCATTGTCATCCACTCCAGCAGCACGTTGTCGCAGTAGTCCTCCGTGGCCAGCGTCCGCATGCGCGCAAGGGCACCCGCGGAGACCACGGGGCAGGCCACCAGGCTCAGTCCAATGGCCGTCATGAACGACAGCTTGAAGTTGAGGCCCGTCTCCAGGTTGTTGGCGTCCAGAAACACCACCAGCCCGTGCTGCTCCAGCATGGGGTGCAGCGACATCACAAAACCGCTGTTGGCCTGTTGCCTGTGATTTTGTGTGTGTGTGTGTGTGTGTGTGTGTGTGTGTGTGTGTGTGTGTGCGTCATTGTGTGTGTCATTGTGCGCATGTGCAGGTGAACATCAAGCCTAACTCCATCAGTGATGGGACATCTGCACTCACTCACATTTGCGCACGATACATGCATCAGAAGCACAGCCCTCTCCAACATTACACCCTTTTGCCCTCCCCCAACCTGTAGCTGATGAAGACGTCGTACTTGTCCTGCAGCCCGAGCATGGGCAGCAGCGGGCCAAACCTGGTGGCAAGCATCTTGGCAGACACAAGGTCCTCGTCCACCCACACGTCCTTCTTATTCTTGTGGTGCTGCAGCACGTCGTCGTAGTACAGCAGCGTTGCGTCATCGTGCGGCAGCAGCAGCCGACTCTGTAGGTCCGCGTACCGCCGCGCCACCGCCTGGCAGATGGTCGTGTACAGCGTGTGTAGCATGGCGCGCGGCTGCGCACTCGTGATCTTCATCTTGATGCCGCCAACAGCCGGCACAAGCTGCAGCTCCAGCTTGGTTGACTCCAGGAATGCAATGGCGTGCGTGCGGCTTAGCTTGGGCTCCTGTGATGCACCGTGCTGCGCATGCGCCATCACGTGGGCCAGCACAACGGTGAACAGTCCCTCGGGCAGGAACGATGCGTGTTGAATGTCGTCCACCTTGACGCTGGCACCACGCTTGATATCCCGCAGGAAGAACACAATGAACGCCGTCTTCTCCTCGTACCCGCTGTAGGCGTTGGTGTGCTGCGCTGCTGTCGTGCTCAGCGACACCGCTGCTGCTGCCGCCGTTGCCTTGCCCTGCTTGCCCCCGCCACGAATCGTCATAGGCAGGATCGCAGGCACAAGAAACTGCTGTTGCTGCTGCTGCTGCTCATTGCGGGCACGCCGCTTGCCTGCCTTGCCACTGCGCTGTGCACCGTGACCAGAGTTGCCGCCGCCGCTGCTGCTGTTTGCACCATTCCTGCCTTCCATCAGCTTGGGCGGGGTGTACTCGATGCACAGCCCGTACCGCATCATGAGGCGCAGAAACGGCACCACCAGCGCGCTGTCCATGTCCTTCCACAGCACGTCCAGCACGCGGCGGTGCAGGATGCCCGCGTGGATGAGGTCGCTCCACAGCTCCGTGCCGAGCCGCAGTGCCTCCTTGTCCCGCACATCCCGGTGCAGGTCAAAGTTGCGGATGACCCGTGACATGGTGTCCACCGCCCACTGCGGGCTCAGGATCACGAAGTTATCCATGCCTTGCACGCTGTCGTAGTACAGCACCATCGAGTAGAGGTGGAAGAACTGCAGGCATGCTTTCGTCTCCCTCCTTCCCTGCAGCCCACACGTGCGCGCAATCTCCACCACCTCATCGAGCGTGAGCAGCGGGCTGCCCTGCTCCTTGCCAACCTGCATCAGCTTATCGTAGAGGTGGAGGTACGGCAACGCAACCTTCTGGTTCACGTACTCCTGCGCTAGTGCTGTGGAGGAGATGGTCTGGCGCAGGTCCTGTATCATGGGGTCGCTGATGGACTTGGTGTTGTCGATGGGCCAGAACCAGAGGTCGCCCTCTGTGTTGAAGACGACAGAAGGGAAGGCCGGGTTGCTGCTGAAGCGGTTGAAGAGGTCGCGCGAGATGTGCTCGTGCTGCTTGCGCTTCTTGACGGCGTCAGCAAAAGAGCCCACCATCAGGATTGGGGCGCTCGTGGCGTGCAGGTGCAGCGAGGACAGCCAGTGGCCAATAAACTCCCACGTCTCTGTCTGCTTGTTCTCGTCCTTGCTCAGCAGGTCCTCCATGGAAAACACCAGCAGGTACACCGCGTACCTGTTGTTGCAGGTGCAGATGGGGTGGGTGAGAGTGCGGTGTGGGGTTGGAGGTGAGTTTAGTGAGTGGAGGCGAGGAGAGTGAGGTGAGGAACATGTGGGTGGAAGTGAGGTGAGTGAGGCGAGGAACACGTGCGTAACGAAAAATGCATCAAACGCATGCAAGCAGGCACAGCTCATCCGCACATACACACGCGCGCGCACACACACACACACACACACACACACGCATACGCACATACACACATATGCAATCACTCACTCTGTGAGGAAGAATGGGTGAAAGACGTAGAAGGTGGACTGGCCGCCGAGGTCAAAGATCTTGAACGTGACCTGCGCCTTTCCATCGCCAATGGTCGCGTCCATGTCCAGGTCGGCAATCGCCTTCTCCCACCCGTCGTCTCCCAGTGCCGTGTCAACGTCATCCTCCTCCTCCTTCTCATCCTCTGCACCATCACCATCACCACTCTTCATCTCGTCCGTTTGGGCCGAGCCAGGTCCAGTGGTGCCCGTGTCGTGTGCTTGCTGGTGCTTCTGCAGGCGCTCCTCAAACTTGCGTCGCGCTTCCTCCATCTTCTCCTGCAGCTCGGCGTCCATGCCCGCCTTTTGCGCCAGCGCCGTGTCCCGCAGACTCCGCGCAACCTCAGACAGGCCCTCGTCAACTGCCTGCAAGCATGAGCGGTTGGCGTGGCGATGGCGATGGTGTGGGGATTGGATGGATGAGCGAACAGGGCACGTGGTTGCAGGGCATGTTTGCGTGAGTGCTTGTGTGTGTGTGTGTGTGTGTGTGTGTGTGTGTGTGTGCGTGTGTGTGTGTGTGTGTGTGTGTGTGTGTGTGCGTGTGTGTGTGTCCCGTGTTGTCCATGAGCATCAACATGTGCACGTGTGCCTGGATTCGCACGCGGTTTGTGCCTTTGACACAGTACTCACGGCTACAAGCATGCGCACACATGCACACAGACATGCACACACACACACACAAACACACACGCACACATAACGGCACCTTCCAGTGGGAGACTTCCAAGGAGTCGAGGGTGACGGCCATGTCCTCGGAGGCGGCGCCCTGCGTCGAGTGCTGGTTCTTGTTGAACGCCTTCCCCATGAGCGAGCGCAGCGTCGTCGTCTTGCCTGCGCGGCCCTGCCCGACCAGCATCAGCTTCGCCCGCGCCGCCATCTGCTCGTCGCCATTCTGTGCCATCGCTTGCATCAGCGCCTTCACCTCCTCAAAGTACTGCTGCCGCGCCCGCTCATCGGCCGTCTGTGCCGTGGTCTTCTTGGCGTCCTTAGTCTTTTTCTTGCCGGACTTGTTGTTCCCTGGGCCCTCGTCGCCTCTGCACGTGACAATGATCAGAGAACGAGCGTGAGTGGTTGCTTGTTGGGAAAGAAATCAAAAAGTTGCCAACAGCAGGAAAATGAAAGGGGACCCCCCCCCCCCCACACACACACACGAACGTACTTGTGCAGAACACCTTCGACGAGGGTTTGAAAGGCGGCTGAGATGTTGGTGTTGCTCTTTGCGCTGGTCTCGGCGAAGAGCATGTCATGTTTCGCAGCAAACTTCTCTCCCTCCTCTGTGGAGACTTGTCGGTCTGATTCAAGGTCGCTCTTCATGCCCATGAGCATCAAGACGACATCGGGTGCAGCAAATTTCTCAGCCTCTTTGAGCCACAACTTGCGCACATTGTCGAATGTTTCCTGCATGAACAAGCGAGCCAACGAGCGAGGACACGTGCATCAGCGAGCGAGCCATGTGGTGTATGTGTGTATGTGTATGTGTGTGTGTGTGTATGTGTGTGTGTGTGTGTGTGTGTGTGTGTGTGTGTGTGTGTGTGTGTGTGTGTGTGTGGACACGGGTGCAGGGGGTCTTAGGGGTTTTGTTGTTGTCTTGTTGATGTGTCGTACCTTGTTGGTGGTGTCATATGCGATGATAACAGCATGCGTTCCCCTGAAGTAGCTTGAGATGAGACTGCGGAACCGCTCTTGACCACCAGAGTCCCACTGTCAACATGGAACGGCCAGGTCTCAGCGTGAGTGGTAGCAGCTGGCCAGAGAAGCTGTTCGTCAGAAACGCTCCGAGAGTGGCCAGCAAGAGGAACAGAGGAGAGGAGGTAGAGCAAGGAGTCATGCATATGCAAGGAGGGGTCAGCCCACGTACGATCTGAAGCCTGATCTGCTTTCCGTCAACTTCTAGGACCACGGTTTTCTGTTTGGATGGGAGGCCGTTGGTGTGCGCGAGTGTGGTGGCGAGTGTGAGTGGTGGTGGTAGTGAGTTCGCGCGAATGGGCAGCTGTAGCAACGCAAGTGAATCGGGTGGTCAACAGGTCCTTTGATTGATTTGGAGACGGCAATAGAGGCCGCAGAGCGGTGAGAAACTTACAAAGTCGACGCCGATGGTGGCGATGTACGTATCGGAGAACGTATGATCCTAATGGAGACGTGGGCATGTATTGACCAGCGCGTATGAGCAAGTCAGAACCAGGACTGCGTGAAACGATGCAGCATTGACGCATGTGGACCACGCGAAAGCGAAAGGGGCACAAGAAAGGGGCGGGGCGAGACTCACAACCCCACAAGCCAACCGAGTTCAAAGACGACAATACATACCCATGCACTCATGCAATATGCAGAAACACACACACACATACACTCACCGCGTATTGGATGACGAGTTGTGACTTTCCAACTTGGGTGTCTCCAATGATAAGAGTCTTGATGAGCACATCCCTGAGTGGGCACGCGGAAGCACAGAATCGATCGGATAGTGGCGATCGGTGTTGTGACAGTGAGAGGCGGCGTGATGTATGCAATTCCACACAAAGGAACAACAGTGTACACAGCAAGATCCAAGCACCCACGATGTCACCCACGATGTTACCAACGATGTCATCACCACACGTCACACACACACAAAAACACACACACACACACACACACACACACACACACACACACACACACACACACACACACACACACACACAGCAGACTCACTTCGAAGCCATGGCTGGTGGTGTGGCTGGCGTGTCGTGTGGTCGTGTGGGCTAGCTGGCTTGCAGGGGCGTGCGTGGCTGGTGGGTGTGTTCTGTGAAGTGCGCCACTTGTTGCTGGTCGTGTGTTTCGATCGATCTTGGCTTGGCTTCTTGATTGTTGTTGCGAAGGAGCGGAGCGAAAATCGTGCACAGCTTTGCGTTTCTTTCCTTCAGCGTTTCGTTGGCAGTGAACAGTGCTGACTGGACGCGAAGTCATGTGTGAGGTGTGATTTGGAGCGGAGAGGCTCGTGTATTGGTAAATGCATCAAGCAAGCAAGCACGCACCGCCAACTCAAACTACAGGCACACACACACACACAGAGACAGAGACAGAGAGACACAGACACACACACACACGCAGACACACACACACACAAACACACACACACACAGACAGAGAGACAGACACACACAGACACAGAACAACTACACGGGCGGCTGCTTCACGTCGCGGAGCAAGAAGTTGACAAACTGGTGGGAGAGAGATCCATCCCCACCACCATCATCATCATCAGCATCACCGCCACCACGACGCTGCTGCTGACCGCTCCCGCTGCCCGTCAGCATGCCAAACAGCCCGCGACGACCACCGCCAGCACCGCTGCCACCGCCAAGCCCGGCCTTGGCCTTCATCTCGCTGTTAAACTCGCACACGTCCGCAATCACCCGCAGCACCTCCGCCCGCATGGCCTTGTTGTCCGTGGTAAAGTACTGCGTCACGGCGTTCTTCAGAATCTCCTTGTCGATGCCCAGTGCATCTGCACGCGCGCGCGCCGCCTCTGCCTGCCCGTGCAAATCGCCCGCGTGCGCCTTGAGCCGCTCGTTCTCGCCCTTGAGCGACGCCATCACCCCTTCCTCCACGTGTCGCGCCGCCAGCTGCTGCTGCGCCTCCGCCAACTGTTGTTGCAGCACCTCCTTCTCCTGCTCTGCCGCCGCTGCTTGCTCGCGCGCGCGTTGAACGGCAGCATCGCGCTCATGCAGTTCGCGCTCGTGCTTGTTGACCATGGCCTGCACAGCAGCGGACTTCTCGTCGTCAAACGACGCCAGCACAGACTGAAGCCGCTTGGCGGCGTGACGCTCTTGCTGCAACTCCCGCTCCATGTCAATGACACGCTGCTCAACGTGATCTCGCTCTTGCACTGCCTCCGTGAAGCGCATCTGCAGGGCGTGCAGTTGCTGCTGCACGTGCTCCAGCTCGCTCTGCATGTCTGCTTCCACACGCTCCTTTTGCTTGAACAAGTCGTCGTGTGCAGCCTGGAGGTCCTCCACCTTCTTGTCCGCTTGCAGCACCTGCTGCGTGTACTCTTCCTCCGACCGCAACATGTGTGTTCTCAGCCGTGACAGCTGACCTTTGAGTCGCTCAACCTCTTCAGCATGTTCCCGATCGGTCTGTTGTTGTTGTTGTTGTTGTTGTTGTTGTTGTTGTTGTTGTTGTTGTTGTTGTTGTTGTTGTTGTTGTTGTTGTTGTTGTTGTTGTTGTTGTTGTTGTAATTGCTGCTGCTGCTGCTGCTGCTGCTGCTGCTGCTGCTGCTGTTGTTGTTGTTGTTGCTTGTGCTGCTGTGAGAGATCTGACCAGAGCGTAGTTGAGTGTTGTGGTGACGACGCGTGATGGGTGCGCTCGCGGCTCTGGACAGTGGCTGGCTTCCATATCTCTGGGACGCGTCGCGGCGGCTGCTGCTGCTGCTGTTGTTGTTGTTGTTGTTGTTGTTGTTGTTGTTGTGGTTGTTGTGGTTGTTGTTGTTGTTGTTGTTGTTGTTGTTGTTGTTGTTGTTGTTGTTGTTGTTGTTGTTGTTGTTGTTGTTGTTGTTGTTGTTGTTGTTGTTGTTGTTGTTGTGATTGTGATTGTGGTTGTGGTTGTGGCTGGCCGGATGAATGGGCAGCATTTATTGTTGTGGGAGTCGGTGACGCGTGCTGGCGGTGCAAGGTCATGGTGGGTGTGAACGGTTGCAAACTGGATACGGCAGCAGTGCTGCTGCCTCCCTGTACAAGCCCATTCCCATTCATGCGTGTGTTGGTTCCTGATGGCGCCGATGGTACAAAGCCATACCCATTGCTGGTCCCGCCACTGTGAGGTGCATGGGTGAGGTTGATGGTCTTGACGTGCTGCAACGTTCGAACCTGTCCCACAGCACCGCTGTGCACGTCGCTGCTGATTTTGCTGGGCTCCGCTGCTTGCTGTGAATCCTTCGACGACGTTTGCTTATGTGGATGTTGCTGCTGTTGTTGTTGCTGCTGCTGTTGTTGTTGTTGCTGCTGCTGCTGCTGTTGTTGTTGTTGGTGGTGGTGGTGTTGTGAAGGCGTGCTGCTGGCTGTCACTGCCGATGCCAACGAAGGCCCACTCCACCACAGCACACCGCCACCGCCACCACCACCACCGCGACTCGCGTTGCCGTTGCTGCTGCGTTGTTGGCTGTCCATTCGCGGATGTAGAGAAGTGATGAATGATTTCGTGTATTTTTCAGCACTCGACTTCCGCTGCAACAACCCACAAGATGGCTGTGCGTCTGCACGCATGCAGCTCTGTGTGTGTGTGTGTGTGTGTGTGTGTGTGTGTGTGTGTGTGTGTGTGTGTGTGTGTGTGTGTGTGTGTGTGTGTGTGTGTGTGTGTGTCTATCTGTGCCTGCTCCTTGTGCTTGTACCCTGTGCGCATCTGGTTCTCTCCGCTTGACTCACCCACCAGCAACGATACCTTGCCTGCAACGCCACACATCCAGAGCCTGCTTCTTCGTCACGCTGCACGCGCTGCATTCAACGTTGCGCGGTATGTGTGTGTGTGCGTTTGTGTGTTAGTAGTGGTGTGCTTTTGTGTCTGCAATGTTGCTTAGATTCCTCACTCACGTAACCCTCTCTTTCTCTCGTGCTTGTGGTGCTGCTGTAGGCCCCGCATGGTGACCGCGCCGTTTGTGCGGTGTTACGCACTGGCACCTGAGGTGAAGCAACGCATTGATGACATGGTGCAGAACAACAAGCTCTTTGTGTTTATGAAGGGTACACCAGAGGCGCCCATGTGCGGCTTCAGCCGCGCCGTCGTTCAAGTGTTGGAGCTGCATGGTACGCAACTTGGCTCGCTGTGTGTGTGCGCGCGCATGTGTGTGTGTGTGCGTGTGAGCGTGTCTTTGGCTGTGCGTGTGTGGTTTTGTATCTACTTGTCTATCTCTCGGCGTATCTACCTCGGCTGCCTTCCTTTCTATCTTTCTGTCTGCCGGTCTTGCTTTCGTGAACCATGATCTTGCAGTGCGAACTGACGTGAGGCGCTTGTGCTTGCTTGCTGGCCGACTGTGGAAACAGGCATGGACCCCTTGGACCTTCAGACAGCCAACGTGCTGGAAGATGACAGCATTCGCAACGGCATCAAGGAGTACTCGTACGTTCTTGTGCCACTCGTACATGCGTCTGGTGCCTGCTGGCCAGGCTTTGCGCAATTCCGCTCATGACTGCTCTTTGACCTTCGTCTTGTGCCATCTCACATGTATTTGCGTGCGCGCACACACGTGCAAATGTGCCTGCAGGGACTGGCCCACCATCCCCCAAGTGTATGTGAATGGCGAGTTTGTTGGCGGCTGCGACCTCATGATCCAGATGCACCAGTCAGGTGTGTTCATGTGTGTGTGTGTGTGTGCTCATGTGTGTGTGTGTGTGTGTGTGTGTGTGTGTGTGTGTCACCTTTGTGTCTCGATCTTCCGCTCTTCCCAGCTGCCTGTCCATCCACCTGTCTGTGTTACATACTTTTGGCCACCGCCAGCACCTCTTACCCCGCTCACCTCATCCGCTCCCTTCACCTCCTCCTCTTACCTCCTGCGCTCGCCCCTTGTGCTGTGCTGTGGCTGTACAGGCGAGCTGGTTGACCTGCTGAAGGGCATCGGACACACGTCCCCATACGCAGATGTACAGGGGGACGGCGGCAGCAGCACAGACGGCAACAAGGCATAGGCACCACGTGTGCTGTCATCACTGTTGCATCCTCCCTTACAGACTCCCACAACCTCTACTCTTGTTCGTGCTCAGGTCTTGCACGTGTGTTTGTGAGTGCCAACAGCACGCGCGCACGTGCGTATGTTTGGTGTAGTGTATCCTAAGCTGGTGTCAGCGCTCATACACAATCCTTCTCTTCCAGACAAATCAGAGAGCATAACTGCCCCACACACGTTCACTTCTGGGAGGGGTGGCCATGATGATGATGATGATGATGATGATGACGGGGGGGGGAGGCGGTGGTGGTGTGGTGGTGCGCTATTTTCATTGTTCACAACGACGACAACATCACAGAGATCACAGGAACAGCTAGCAATGGAACACAAGACAGACGGCAAAGAGGGAAGGGGGGCAGAAGTGTGGTTGTACGTGTTTCGATGCGACTGTAGAGTGGTGGTGGTGGTGGTGGGGGGGGGGGGTGCTGGCGTGTGCACGGGTGCTGGGTTCTGACGTGTGATGATGGTTGCGACCTCTCGCCTGGCTGCTTTGGTTAGAAGGCAAAGCGCTGGGCGTTGCGCTTGTCCACAACTTGCGTCTGGTGGGCATTCCCGCGCAGCAACACACGCGCACATGGGTGAGAGGCGCGAAAGGGAGCAGGTGGCAGGCAGCAAAGCCAAACTGCACGCAGGCACACACACACTCAAAACACAGACACACAGTGCTTGCTCGCAAGCACAAGCCTGACGCGTACCTTGTAGTAGATGCCAGCCACACCGCCAACAACCATGATAGCTGAACAATGATAGCAAAAAAAGCAATGAGACACGAGAGCTTGTGCAATTCCCAATGATGACCCTTTACAGAGACGCAGACACACACACACACACACACACACACACACACACACACACACACACACACACACACACACACACACACACACACACACACACACACACACACACACACACACACACACACACACACCCCCACCCCCGTGCCACCACGAGACGTACCGAGGACGGCGTACATCCACCACCCGCCCATTGCGGAGTCGCCCTGGTCGACATCGCCGGCCTGGTGTCGGATCTTCTTGAACGCCGTCTTGCTGAACGACACCTTCTTCCGCTTCGGCCCAACGTGCTCTGCACACATCCAAATGTGGCACAGAGGGGTGTGGGTGTGTGTTTAGAGAGAAACAGAGGCAGGGACAGAGAGAGAGAGAGAGAGATAGAGAGAGAGAGACAGAGAGAGAGAGTGTGTGTGTGTGTGTGTGAGTGTTGAGTGTGTGTCACGTAGAGTGGCAGCGCTGAAAGACAGCCGTGCTCTCGCACCAGCACTAATGCACCACCAAGACCGCAAGCAACACAGTGCGTCATCACCTCGGGGCGCCTGCTTGCTCGCTGCAAACGGCTTCGTCACGTCCGCATCTGCATCGGGAATGTCCTTCACCGTCTTCCGCTGCACGTGTGTGTGCGTGTGTGTGTGTGAATGTGTGTGAATGTGTGTAAGGCGGGATGATGGTGATGTGAGCATGTTCGAAACAAGTCCTCAAAACAACACCACCGCCATCTATCACCACCACCACCACCATCACCATCAGCACCGCAACCCCATCAACGGGTGTTTCGTACGTCCTGCTCCTGCATCTGCTGCATCTGCTCGCGCTCCTCGCGCGTGAATGCCGGGGGGTCCGAGAGCGCCAGCGAGATGACGTCGTGGTTGTCCGCCAGGTCGCCTGTCGCAGCACTCACGCCAAGGAAGTACCCTGCAGCAGCCGTGCCGTGGTGGTGTGGTGTTGGCGATAGTGGAGAGATGGAGCAAACAGGTAAGGACTGGAGCAATTGTGCGTGCGTGCGTGCGTGTGTGTGTGTGCGTGCGTGTGTGCGTGTGTGTGTGTGTGTGTGTGTGTGTGTGTGTGTGTGTGTGTGTGTGTGTGTGTGTGTGTGTGTGTGTGTGTGTGTGTGTGTGTGTGTGTGTGTGTGTGTGTGTGTGTGTGTGTGTGCGCTTGAAAATGTGGCGCACCGCGCGGGAGGAAGACGTCTGCGACGAAGAAGCAGGTGCGCCAGTCATCGTTGCCGTTGGTGTTGAACAGCACCTTCAGCGTCTATTGGGAGGTCAGCAAAACACGCACACACACACATGCACACATATAAGTTGTGAGGTGGTGAACCACGATGACGACAGCCACAACTGCGACCAAAACGTGAGCACAGACACAGACACACAGAGAGAGAGAGAGAGTGTGTGTGTGTGTGTGTGAAAGAGAGAGAGACACACACACAGACACACAGTACTGCAAGGTTTGATGCTCACGTTCTTGCGATAGATGACACGCATGTACGTTTCCTGCTCCAGGTTGCGTAGGTTCAGCTGGCATGATGCAATCTCCTGTAGACACACGCACACGCGCACATATGCCAGCACGTGAGTGAGCGCATGGTACATGCCCTTCTGAAGGGGACATGCGGACACACAGACACACAGACACACAGACACACAGACACACACACACGCATGCTCATACACACGAGTACATGCAGGCAGAACAACGGCACCTGGTGTGTTCCGTCCTGGTCGTGGTCGTACTCGATTTTGCCGTCGTTGACAATGGCGCTCACATACGCACCGCCACCGCTCTGTCGGGAGGGGGGAGAGGGGTAACAGACGTGAGGTGGATTGGTGGTTGCAGGGAAAACAGTTGCATGATGACATGGAGGAAAATGGTGGGGTACACACTCTTCTGTCAGTCCCCGTCAACGATTTACACACACACACACACACAGACACACACACACACACACGCGCCAACCAATCCCTTGTCTCGATATGCAGACACTCACCCGCTGGAGCTCGAGGTTAGAGTAGGTGTCGACGAAGATGCCAAGGCCCGTCCACCGGTCCCGGCTGCCAAACACGTTGCCTGGCAAGCCAGATGCACAGCAATGTGACGCCGTCAGGACCCAACATGCAGTGAGCCGGTTTGAACTGTGCTTCGTGCTCATCAACAAAACACACACACACATACAAACACACACATACAAACACACACACGCACACACTGCCCGCTTCCTCGCTTCCCTTCGACTGCATTGTGTGTGCACGCACCGAGGGTGTTGCGCTGCTGCGTGTACCACAGGGCGAAGCCGTCACCATACAGGGCTTTGCCTTGGCCGTGAATCTGTGGGACGCAGCACAGCGCAATTTGAGTCGATCAACCAAAAGGAAGTTAACGAGAGGAAGGAGAAAAGTACGGACAGGTGTGTGTGTGGGGGGGGGGTATCGATGGGCAAGGAGGAAGGGGGAAGCGAGGAAGGAAGGAGGGGAAGCAAGCAAGGAAGGAAGGAGGAAGGATGTAAACACACACACACACACACACGCACACACGCACGCACGCAGGTACAACATGGGCTTGGGCTTGTGCCACGTGTGACATATACCTTAAAGTGAAGCGTGATTTCCCATTCCTTGACGCCGATGGGCTGAGATGAACCAAGGGAAAATTACCAGCAAGATACAGTGTTCGGTGAGACATGCACGAGCGAGGGAGCAAATGAGCAAGAACGTACACGAGCCGCAGCATGGACAAAGCACCTAAAGCAGTGCCTTTGAGCCATATGCTCAACCGCTTCCGCACTCACCCGGGTGTTCCAGATTGCACCGCGCTTGCTCTGGCGGTCGGGTGTCAGGCGAATAAAGTCGTCAGACACAACGGCGTTGCCAATAAAGTCCCAGTACGGCATCACCATGCTGCCACCCACTGTGTGCACGCGCGTACATACGCATGGTTGAGTGCATGAAGAAGAACACGTGAGTAAGTGCACAAGACAGGGAATGAGAGAATGACTGAGAAGGGGGTGAAAGGGAGGAGCTGTGCGTGTGTGCAAATTTGTTGTTGCGTGGGCGACTCTCCCACAACAGCACACGCACTGGCGCGCACACGGTTATCCACACACGCACACACGCACACAATTACAATCACACAGTAATACAACCACATAGTAGCGCAGCTGTTGCACACACTCTCTCTCTTGCACGCACACTCACACACGCACACGCACTTGCACAAACTTGCACAAACATGCACGCCCACCCCCCTCTGCGTTCCCCCTTCTCCCTCCCAGACCCTCAGTACACGTACTCAGATATGGCTTCATGATGGAGTGCTGCCGGCGCACGGTGCCAGAGGGCTCTGGGCCAGCAAGCACGCCAGCCAGCAACGCTGTCCCCATCACCACCAACACTGCCAACACCCTCATCTTTGCTGTCGTGCTGTTGTCGAAGTGGCACAACGAGGAGAAAATTGTACAAAACATCAATCAATTTTCACAACTGAAAGCAAGAGAGGATATGGAGCGACGAGAACAAGAACAACAAGATGAGGATGGTGGGCACGAGGAAGTGACGTTCGTGGCGCGTGTTCCGAATGGAGATGAGGCAGATACGACAAGTAGCGATGACGACGGGGATGAGGGGGACCTGGGCGCTTGGGATACCGGTGTTGAGGACGGGCGCGACGATGAAGGCGTGGCATCCACTGCAGGCTACATCCCACTGATGCTGGACAGTGACGAAGGCACCGCCAACGACGACGATGGGGAAAGCGGCGATGACAGCGACGACGATGCTGATGCTGATGTCGATGGTTCTAGTGATGGTGTCGATGACGACGCTGATGCTGATGGTGACGACGATGCTGATGGTAATGGTGGTGGTGGTGGTGGTGGTGAGGAGGAGGAGGCGGTGGTAGTGGAAGATGTCAATGGAGAAACCAGTGGCAGACATGAGGAAGAGGGATCAGAAGGGGTGGTGGAACCTCGGCAATTTACAGCAACCATGGCTGTCGCCATGCAGATTCGTGCGCAGGGCACCATTCACGTGGAACCTGTTGAACCTCAACACGCCAGAGCAGACGATTTCGCCCTCTCAGAAGAACACATTCACACCATCAAGGCTTGCATGGCATCCTTCTCACTCCCCTGCCCGCCCGACTTCAAGTACGCACACGCGTGCGTGTGTGCTCTGTGTGTGTGTGTGTGTGTGTGTGTGTGTGTGCGTGTGTGTGTGTGTGTGTGCGTGTGTCGACGTATTTTATCCGTTACTCCGTGTACGTGCGGTCTGTGCCCATGCCTATGCCTTTGTACCATTGTTGGACTGGCGATAGCGGCCTCCCCGCTGCACACAAACACACAAACACACACACACACACACACACACACCATGCAATGGCAACTCACACCATGCTACTATGCGTGTCGTTTGGAATAGCATGACGGAAGTGGACACAACAATCCAGCGCGTGCTGCAGCGGACACAGCACCAGCAGGAACAGCACTCGGCAGGCACAGGCGCACATCAAACGCACCAACAACAACAACAGGATCAGCAGCAGCCACAACGAGAATAGCGGCGAAACCAAAACGAGTGAGAACAACAGCAACAAGCTCAACAAGCAAATGAAGATGAACATGTGCCAGTGAAAGATGGGCAATAACAGAAATCGATGTAACAGAGTAACCAGACACAACCAACACCAGCATATCGCGCCACAATTTCAACAACAGCAGTAGCAGTCACAATTGCAAGAACAGCAATAGCAGTCAGCATTGGTTGGCGAGCATGTGTGCGCTATTGGCTGGGACCTCCCAATTACGGCAGTGGTGTGCTTGCTCAGTGATATGACACCATCCGTCCGCTCCCCCCCCCCACACACATTGCGTGTCCCTTCAGAACGCAGTTTGCTGCACTGGAGCGCGACGGCTGCGGATCTGTGAGCGCACACGCACACACACACACATGCGAAGACGTGCATGTGAAGAGCGGAGAGAAAGGGGAAGCAAAGGGGGGAGAGGATGGCGGTGAGAATGCAGCAGGGGGGAAGGTGAGCAGGGTTGGACGACAGCAGGAGCATACAACATGGAGCACACTTCCCACACACAAACATCCAACAATGCACGCCACATCAAGACCACAAGACGACAAGCCGACAAGCAGCAGCAGCAGCACCACCACCACCACTCAGCAGCACTCAGCAGCAGCAAGGCTCGACTAATCCACGCCCATCATGCGTGTGCCGTACCTTTGCCAGCCAGCGGGCCGCGGCCCAGCGCACGGCCCTGTCCGGGTCGATGCGGTGGCGCTTCCGCCGCTGGTTCTCCAGCACCTGTTGCAGAATACGGAGGGCAGACTGCACAGACTCGAGCTGGCTGATCTCCCGCCGAATCACATTGTCAATCGCTTCAATCCGCTGGTGCAAATTCGCAATCGCCGTCGAGTCCGTGGCCTGCAAGCAACAGACGTACGTGTGTGTGTGTGTGTGTGTGTGTGTGTGTGTGTGTGTGTGTGTGTGTGTGTGTGTGTGTGTGTGTGTGTGTGTGTGTGTGTGTGTGTGTGTGGTGTGTGGTGTGTGTGTGTGTGGTGTGTGTGCCGGTGAGTGCAGCTCTGGGTAGCGTGTCTGTTTCCCCACCACGGGCTTCCCCCGCTGATCTCCTCCTCTAGCCCCCCCCCTCTTCTTCTGCCCCCTGCCTCCGCCTGGCTACCACACCTCTGCGAGCTGGCCCTGTAGGCGACGCTTCTTGTCGCGAAGGACGCGGAGTGTTTCCCGCCTCTCATCGGCGCGCGCCTTTTGCTCCGCTTGCTCCTTTGCAATTTGCTCCTGTTGGTTTTGTTGGTGCGAAGTAGCGGCAATTAGAGATTGAGGTTCCAAACCGCATTGCGTGACGTGACTCATTATGCACCACGTGCAACTGATGTGATGATGGCGACTGACCACCACGCGCGTTCATCGTGGATATCACAGCATGCACCCCGCACACACAAACAATCAAACAAACAAACCAAACGAACAAACAGCACATTGCACCTGCTTGCGCTGGGCCGTGACGCGCGGGTGCTCT